CCCTCACAGATCGATCCGGCTCGGGAGGTGGCGTAGAAAGATAGGGTCCGGGAAGCGGGTTCTGATTTTTTATGATGCTTCCATTGATCTCAGGGAATCCACACCCTTCCTGGGAGGGCCAGACTATCGGGCACCTATCTACGATCAGTGGGCGATTGGGGGCCGGCGCGCCCCCCCTGAGCCTATCCCCCCCTGACGTTGACCCCATCGCTGGAAACGCCCGAAAACCTGCAACCTCGAAAGCCCGAAACGGTACCCCCGAGCCTATCCCCAGGAGAGCCCAGAATCGAATCGATAAAGCGGATCGGCGATTGAAATGAATTGGATTGGCGGAGATTGGCAACTAAGCTGGCAGAAGTCGAATCGGTGGAAGAAATCGGCAGGTCAGTGAGGCATCCGCTGATTAACCGAAATCAAAATCTGAAGCCGAATCCGAGCCGAATCGGGATCGGAATCCATCGAGATCGAGCCGAGTCGAGTCGGAGGAATCGAAATTAGCCCTGCATCCCCCCCCCCCGCACGTCCCAGACATCCGACGTCTCGATTTTTCCCAGACGCGGGCCCCTGGCTCCTCGACCACTTCCCCGGGACCAGTTTTTCATCCCGAGTCATTCTGGAAGGTCCCGAGGCCCGGTGAGGGCCCCGAGAGGCCGAAAACTGATGTAGAACGTCCGTTTCGATTTTCTCGAAACGCCAGATGTCAGGGGATGCCTCCGCTGCTGGCGACCGGCCGTGCCGCGCCTCCTCAGAGCCTCTGGGCCCGCACATGGTTGCACGCGCGGCACCTAGTCCGGCCCCGCCTCGCCCGCGTGCCCGGGCGGCGTCCCCGCCTCGCTGGCGGACAAGAGCACCGTCTCGGCGCCCCCGCCCCGCGGACTGCGCGCGGCGCGCGCGTCCTGGATCTGGGAGACGTAAGGCTGCGGCTCGTGGGACCCCAGAGATCCGACGCTCCAGACAAGCTGGAGCGTTTCTGGCTGACGTCGGCCGCCGGGGGCCCTCTCGCCGGCCGCGGGACCCTCAGAAGACGGCTCAGGGCGAAAAACGGGCCCTGGGCCCACGCATCGAAACAATTTGAGCAGCCAGATGTCTGGGGAGTGACTCGGGTTGGCCTGGCGGGCCCGCCAGGAGAATGACGAGGCCCAGTCTGAGCTTTGGCGCGCGCTCCCGCTGCAGAGATCCCACGGAAGCTGGGCCGTCTGAGTCAAGGATGAGCCCGTCAAAGAGCGTCGGCAAGGCCCGAGTTCTGGCGAACTCGAGTCTTGCGTTTCCCCGATCCTGGAGAGAGGAGAAGCATCGACACACTCGGATCTATTCGTTTCAGCGACATGAGCCAATGACCCCCTGCGCGACGAAAGCTCTGCAGAGGCAAGATGCGTCTGTCGCTGGGTGCCTCTTGGAAGTGGAGAACTCAACTTGCCAGTGGGTCCGTAAAACATTGTATGCCTGACGTGTTCCGGACGCGGTTCAAATTGACATTCCATGCTGGAGGATGCACGTCGAGGTGCACGCCGACGTGCCCAGATCTCCGACGGTATCTTTATCCAAGCCTCTTTCGTCGATTTCACCCTCCACGTCCCGATATCGGGCCTCGGGCCCTGGGATCACCAAACACGGATCCAGGACGCAACACTGCCGCCCGGGAAAGAGGTCGGCCACCCCCTGGGGGTGCGGATTGAACAGATCATTAAATGTCTCCGCGCCGTCGGTTCTCGACACGCCCAGGTGGACGACGCCGACACCACGGCAAACCCATGGCAAACCTTGCGCCCCGCGCCCAAGCAGACGAGGCTGGCGCCGCGGCTAACCCCACGGCAAGCCCACCGCGTCCGAGGCGGGCGACAAATCACATCGGAGGTTGCCCCTTGAGATCCTAACGTCTCGATTGTTCGAGCCGGGCGTTTTCGCCCAAATTCGGGGCCCGGGACCATCACAGATCGATCCGGTTCGAAAACTGAAGCAGACACATGACTCCAGTCGAGATGTCTTACGATGTTTCAACTTGTTCGCTACGTCGGATCTAAGGCTCTGGGTAGGCACAAGCTTTTGGAGGTCTGTGCGGAAGAGGCATCAGGCCACGGGACGGAAGAGCCATCGATGATGCTCGTCGGGGACCACACAGCGACATAAAAGCATACGCTTTCGGCGTTCCGCGCGGACTTCTTGGATCGGCATCGCGCCCACCCCCGTGGCCTGACGCGCGGGGCGCGCCAGGGGCTGCGTCAGAGGCGCCGATCCAGGGAAAACTGGCACCGCTCCAGGAAACCCGCGCGGGCCTCCAGGAGCAAACTGGGAAGCTGGAAGCATACGCGGCTGGATCCACGTGCGGAACATCTGGAGGCCACGTGCTGGATACACGCGTGGAGGATCACCGTGCCTGGCCACACGAGAGCCGAGGGCTGCGAGGCCAGGGCTCGACCAAAACAGGGTTTTTGTTGCTTTCGTGTTGTTTCCGTTTTACTGCATGTGTCTTCGCTCCGCCTTCGCTGCAAAACGTAACGGCCCACGAACTCGCCAAAACACCGTATGGGTCGACCCTTGCATGTGGCCACGCGTGTATCCAGCTCTCGCCCAGGCCGGCCACGTCGTGTGTATCCAGCTTCCCGGTCCGGTCGGGACCTTCTGCTCGGCGTGTGGCAGCGGCGACCCCGGCGACACGCTGTGCCCTGCAAGTGGATGTATTGTGTCGCTCCGCTCCGCGCGGCGGGAGGCTGGCCAAGGCTCGGGACGCCGACGCCTGGGAATCGAGGCGTGGTCAGCGTGCCGCGCCGAAGCGTGAGAGGGCCAGAACCGGCGGTGCGACACGCCAAAAAAGGCGTCCTGACCGTATGCTCATGCCGACTTCCCAAACCTCCGATGCCTTGATTTCTTGAATTCGCGGACCCCTAGTCGGGGGCGTCCAAGAGGAGGGTTCGCAAACCGTGGCCCGAGGCATGTGCGCGGACCACGGGGGGCACGGGACGCCCGCCATTTTCTAAGAAGGCCTTCTCCTTCTCACTTCCCCCCTCGCTCGCCGCCGACTTTCGGCTCAGGTGGTCTTACCGAGTTCTTTCTTTCCTCTTGCAAAAAACCCTCTTCCCTTCGAGGAGGGGTACCCTCCCCCTTCCCCTCCCTGAGGATTTTTTGAGCGGGCCGCGAGGCGTCAAGGCGCCCAAGATGGCCTAAGATGGATTCAAGAGGGTCGATGCTGCAAGATGGCCTCCAAGGCGGCTGAAGATTTGCGGGGCCCCAAAATATACACCATCACCAGGAGGCCATAGGAAAAGAAAAAATCCTGCGCGCGACCGCCCTGACAGGGGTGCCACTGCCTGCCCCCGCCAAGCGCAAGTACTTGCCACGTGGTCATGCGCGCGGATGGCGGCCGCATTCGATTACAAATAATTGCTCCCAAGCACCCTATGGCAGCATTGTGGTGGCGTATAAAAAACCCTGGACCCCCCAGGAATGTTGTACACCACCCCGAAGGATACACCACGTGAATGCGTTGTTTTTTGCGCATGCAACCGCGTGCCCAAATGACGCTGCACACGCGACATGTATACGCCGCGAGATCTGACGCACCCTGCAACCCACCGTCGAAAGATTAATCCGATCACCCCATGACAGAAAACCAGCCCGCGGTGGTGATGTATGTGCGTGGGTCCTGGAAGATTGTCGAAGATGGTTCAAGATAGCTTCCGACATAAAGAGGCCCGACGAGGGCCACAAGACGGTTCCAAGTGCTCTCGGAGTCCCTCAGGACCCCCAACGAGGCCCAAATCCTTCCATCACTTGGAGACCATCCATGATTTGTGCCTTCTCGCCTTTTCGCTTTCGATGCGCTTTTGAGGCCTCAAGATGGCCTCCAAGATGGCCCTGGAGCCCAAGAGGGGCCCACAAGGTCCCCAAGACGGCCCCAAGAGCGCCCATTAGCGGCCCAAGAGCACCCCAAGAAGGCCTCAAGAGGCGATTTTGATGGCCACAGGGGGGACGCAAATCGAGGACACCCCCTCCTTTGATCGACGCCCTACAAGATGGCCCCAAAAAGCCTCACAGGGCTCCCAAGAGAGCCCCAAGAGGACCCCAAGAGGGCCCCAAGAGGGCCGCAAGAGGGCCCCAAGACGTCCCCAAGACGACCCCAAGATCCCCCAAAAGAGTCCCAAGAGGGCTCCAAGAGGCGATTTCCAGGGCTCTGTCCTCATCCTCGTTGTCCTCCGCCTCCTCCTCCTCCTCCTCCTCCTCCTCCTCCTCCTCCTCCTCCTCCTTCTCTTCCTCCTCCTCCTCCTCCTCCTCCTCGTCCTCGTCCTCGTCCTCGTCCTTGCACTCATCGTCTTGCTTTTCCTTTTGCTCTTCTTCCTCGTCGTTGTGGTTTTTGTCGTCCTCTTCTTCTTCCTCCTCCTCCTCCTCCTCCTCCTTCCCTCACCCCCACGCGGGCCACAGGGATGGCCCGAAGGGACCCTCCAAGGCCCACCCTGGTTGCCCGGTTTGTATATGTGCCTTTTCGCCACTTTCCCCGTCAGCTCTCATGGGCAGGGTTTCCGAATGGGCTGGTGGGGATGCGCGAAGCGTAAAGAATATTCTGAGAGTGTGTCCGTGCCCGCCCCGCCCGCGGCTGCGGCGCCGTCTCCGTCAGCGCTGCCTGAGCGACAACGATTAGGGGGGAACTTGCGGAACATCGACCTAAGATCGGCGATACATCGCCGAGGGATCGGTGCTAGGACCTCGATAGTTCGCGCGTCTGGGCCATCGGGCCCATCGCTCCCTAACGTTGCCCACATCGCAATCTGGTTTTCGGGTTATGTGGCCGTTCTGGGCCATCCGGGCAGCACCGGAACGTTCCCGGCGAGGCGCAGCTGCTGGAACGCAACCCGAGGCTGGAAGGCCGCCGAAAATAGACGAAGACGCCCGAAAGCCTCGAGCCTCGAACACCCCCCGATCGTTGCCCCTGACCGCCGCCGCGCGCGGCGGCCCAGGGCGGCCCGGAGGCGCCCACCGCGGCGCGCCGCGGCGAGGCCGCGGCGCCGCCCGCGGCCGCGCGCGACGGCGGCCGCAGGCGGAGCGCGGCGCGCTCCAGGCGCGCGGCGCTCGCCCGCAGCTCGCCCTCGGCCGCGGAGGGGGCGCAGAGCTCCTCCATCCTGGCGGGGCGGGGCTCGGCGCCGTCGACGAGGACGTCGATGACGACGTGGGCTACGAGAACGACGACGACGACGACGACGACGACGACGACGACGACGACGACGGCGGCGGCAAGGACGACGACGGCGGCGGCGGCGGCGGTGGTGGCGGAGACGACGAAGACGACTACGACGCAGAGGTCCTCTATCCTGGCGGAGCGGGGCGGGCTACTTCAAACGCAGCAGTCACCCCAGAGGGCTGTTGTCTTCCAGCGGACTGGCCAATGTGTCCCACGCAGCGCGCTGCGGGCTGGATTCTTTGAGGCAGCGTAGAGCAGCAAGAGAGGCAGCATCAGTTCGACTTGTCACGCTGATCTTTTCCCCCAAGCGGACATCCTGACAACTCCTCCCTTCCTCCCTCGCTCTCCCTCCCCCCTTCTTCCTTCTTGCGCCCGACCTCGTTCGTCCCTCCCTCCCTCTCTCCGTCCCCCCTCCCTTCAGGCCTGCAGTCCTCCTCCGTCCCTCCTAGAAACCATGGCGGGGGAGGGATCTCCAAGACAAATCCTGCGGGGCGGGGCGGACCCAAAGCGCCCGAACGCTCGGCCGACCAAAACTAACCACAAGCGCTGATACTCTCCGACATTATCCCGCGGTGCATTCTGACCAGAAGTTCGAGGCGAATCCAAAGGTGGCGACGAGGGCCTCCCAGGAGGCCCATAAAGGAGAAAACGAGAAACGGGTAGCAGTATGGGTACCTTTAGCTCCTCTGACACACACACACACACGCGGAGAGAAAACACACAAAACGAGGTCCTGTACGCTGCCTCAAAGTTTCCAGTCCTTGTAGCAGCCAACTGCCTAGGACACATTGGCCAGGCTGCTGGAAGAAAACAGCTCTCTGGGGTGGCTGCTGCGTCTGCAGTAGCCCGCCCCGCCCCGCCAGAAACGAGGACCTCTGCGTCGTCGTCGTCGTCGTCGCCGACAGCGGGCCCGCTCCTGTCGAGCCTGTCAAGCAGCTGCCGGGCCCGCGCGCCCGTGGGCCGTCGGGGGCCGCACGGTGCGGCCCCGCCGGCGCGGGCACGCGCCACCTCGGGGGCGCCTCCCTTCCTCGATCCTCCTTTGGCGCTCCCGACGCAGAAGTCATCGGGCGCCCCCGACGCGCCACCTCGGGGCGCCTCCTCGCCCTGCCCCCCGTTTCGGCGGCCTGCCCCCCGTTTCGGCGGCAGCTCGCGGGAGCCTCCCATGCCATCCTGCTGGTTATGGGGAGGACAACGAGGACGACGAGGACGACGAGGAGGACGACGGGGACAACGAGGACGACGACGAGGAAGACGACGACGACGACGAAGACGAGGACCATTTGGACGACGAGGACGACGAGGGCGACGAGGGCTATGAAGGCGATGAGAGGGATGGGGCTCCACTCACTTCGAATTTCTTCCCACACTTCGCACCCGTCACGCACACAAACACACACACACACAGACTGGCACCGCTCACGCCTTGCAGCCACACATCAAAAACACCACGCCCGCGCCCACACACACTGCCACACCACACCACCTTCGCATCCCCTTTCACACAACAACAGTGCCCACCCACCCACACACACAACATGTCCAAAACCACCGCTCGCTCGCCTCACTCTCTCCATTCTCCCCTACACACGCTCCCACGCCCAGATAGTCGGCGCTGATCGACGCTACATTGATACGGATCGACGCTAAACCGCGCTTCCTCAACGAAAACCAAACGCTACCGCACGCTATCGCAAGCTACAGACGGAGCTACGAGGACACATTTGTGTGGCCGGCGGGGCGAGAGCGAACCTTTTCCGCTAAAAGCTAGGCGGGCGACGCGCAGCTTTAATTGGGGAGACAGGGCGCAGGAAGGCGAGGCTTCAGGCGGCTGGAGCAAGTGGAGCCCAGGGCGCAGGCGGTGCCGAAGAGCTTGCACAGGAGAAGGTACGCCGCGGACGGGGCCGGGGGCGAAGACCCGGAAGGCGGCAGGGGTGGTGTAGCCGTCAGCGGCGCGTCGCGAACACCAGCCTCAAGCACAGCGGGGAAGGACGTGCCATTGACCAGGTCGACGCCCAGGAGGGAGAAAAGCACCACGAAGGCGATGCGCAACGTTGTGCCACCGGATGATGCGGAGGAGGCCCAGGAAGAAGAAGAGCACCTCGAAGGCGATGTGCAACGTTGTGCCACCGGGTGATGCGGAAGAGGCACTGGGTGGTAGTCCAATCCACGTCCAGGAAGTCGCCTGCTTGAGGTGCGGCCACGGACATGTGGGCCGTACATGACCGACAGGATGTCGGTGGAGTGCAGGGAGCAAACCAGCCCTGCACAGTCAGCGCGTGGAGACGGGCAGCAGCCACGCACGATGCGCTGACATCCGCATGCCGAGGGCCGGGCCTGAGCCGCGCAGCGCCATGGCGAGCGGGGCCGCCGAGTCGGCAAGGTGCAGCGCCCGGCACCGGGCCGAAGCCGCGCAGTGCCAGGCGCTGCCGCCATGGGAGAAGGGGAAGCGAGCGGGGGGGGAGGAAGCGAACAGGGAGGAGAAAGGCCGGCGCGCCACGCCAGCCGTCGACATGCCAGCCTGCACCGTAGGTGCTCACGTGGGGGGACTGGGCCCCGATGGGTACAGGTAGGACACACGGTCCCAGATCATGTTAAAGACAAGTGAGGGGGAGGGGGGAACAGGTACAGTCGGAGACCAGGTGGACCAGCAAGCGGCCGCTGCGCGTGGGCTGTGCAAGTTACACTTGCAGCGGGGGTACAGGTAGGGGGGAGCAGGAGGACACACGGTCCCAAGTCAGGTGAATAGGTGGGGGAAGGGAGTACAGGTGGTGGGGGGGGCCCGTGGTGGGTGGGACCTTGACCTGGCCGCGAGTCGTGGGAGCGTAGGGAGGCAGTCGTGTCGCGCGAGCAGGGGGACACACGGTCCCAAGGCAGGTGAATAGGGAGGGGGAAAGGGAACAAACAGGTGGTGGGCGTGGCCGGCGGTGGGTAGGGACCACACTTGGTGCAAGTTGCTGGGAGCGTGGAGGCGGCCGCGTCGTGCTGTGTCAGTGAGGGGAGGCCTGGTCGTCGGCTGGTCAGCGTCTGGGGCGCTTTCCGGTCCAGTTGTCGTTGTACCCGGAGCTGCGTGCCTGGTCGTCTCCGCGCCCGTCACCTTTGGCGACCTCTCTTTTCCTCTGGACGTCCTGGTACAGGGCCTTCTCCTGCTCCCAGTCCACGTAGACGCCGGTGTTGCGAGACCACGCCTCCACGTGGTGGTTGCTGGTGTCCATGTCGTTCAGGAATTCGTCGATTTTCCAATGTGGCCAGCGGTTTGGGTCGAAAGCGACTTGATCCTTGGATTTGCCTTTGCCCTGCTCCTTACACATGTGCCTGCACCAAGAGTGCCAAGCTGCGTTGAAGTGGTATCCTCCTTCTGCCTGCAGCCTCTTCAGGTGTGCGACTGCTGTCTCGTGTGGGCGGCGCTGCCAGCCGACGCGGAAGCCTGTCCGTGGGCGGCTGGGGTCAGGGTGGCGGCGGTCGTCCCTGTGGTAAGAGCTGCGCGGTTCTGGCTGGCGCCAGGGGGTGCTCCCTGTGCCCTTGCCACTGTCGCGGTCCTGCTCCCAGTAGCGCTCCCTGTTCCTGTCCCAGTCGTTGGCGTCCTGCTTGCGCCACGGTGCCCCCGCTGCGCCCTTGTTGCGGTCGCGGTCGCGATCGCGGTCGTGCTCCCCAGCACGAGTCCGGTCACCAGCCTCTCTGACCGCGCGGCTCACCGCAGTCTCGTACGACTCCCAGGCGACTGGTTCCCGCGCCCTGCCGCGCAAGCGCTCTAGCTCGTGTGCAAGGAGGGGGTTAAGTGCTGGTCGACTGTTTTCCGGGCCTTTGGACCTGTTCCTCGTGTGCAGCGCCCGGTTGTCGGCAGCGGCCACCAGGGGCGCGATCGGCTCCGTGGGTGCGCCGACGGGCTGGGTCTGGTAGGTGCTGCATGAGTCGTGCTCGGGACTGCTGCGTCGTTCGTTACGAGGGTTCGTCTTGGCTTGGCCCTCCTCGACTGTGTCGGAGTCCGAGGATGAGGAGACCGCATGGACCCTGCTTAGGGCCTCTGCGAGGCTCAGCTTCTTCTCTTGTTCCTGGTCGTCGTTGGTCCAGTCGGGGTCCTCTTCCTCAGGGGGCACAAGGGGTGCAGGTAGCTACGAGGACACACACACACACACGGCTCCCATGATTTGCTTCCGAACCCTCCTGAGGGGCAATCCAGGTGGGACAACGACAGGGGGGGGAACTTGCCCCAGGAGGGGATGCCCAGACATCTGATCTGGCGTATTGAAAAAATCGTGACGGAGGTTTTCAGCCTTTTCGGCCTCTCGGGGACCTGGACCTCACGGGGCCTCGGGCCCGTCAAAAAACGAGTTAGGATGAAAAGAAGCTCCTAGGCAAGTGGTCGAGAAAGCGGGGGCCCGTGTCTCGAAAAGGTCAAGACGTTCGATGTGTGGGTAGGCTCAGGGTATCAGGGAGTTGTTGAAAGTGTTTGCAATTCTCGAAAGTTGTTGAATCCCGGAGATGCCAGCATCACCCCAAACAGGCGCTGGAGGCCCAAATTGTTACCCGAAAACCATGGGGCAACCGTACTCGGGGGGCCCAGACCTGCAACGTAACCAAAAAAACCTGGCGGTGTATCGTCGTATTCGGCCTCTAGGGGTCCCCGCCAAGCTCGGGACCGTCAAAGAAAAGTCACGGTCGAAAAAACGAGTCCCTGGGAAGTGGTCCAGAGCTCCAGGGACCGCGCATTGAAAAAATCAGCACATCGGATGCCTGGGGACGCTATAACGGGGGGGCAGCTCAGGCCATGAGATCTGGGCTGCAATGTTATCACGCCAGGCGATTTCACCCAGCTTCGGGCCTGGGGACCACTGCAGATCGATCCGGTTCGAAGAATGCCGCAGGAAGATGGGGCCCAGGGCTGCTTCTCAGTGTCGGATCTCAGGGGAGGACGGGGGGAGAACATCGAGCTTGCATTCCAAATACGTTCGCACTGGCTTCTGCGGCTCCGAGCTTGAGCCAAGATGGGGCTGGGCCAATAGGATTAGACGGGGAACAGAAGCAGGAGAAGAAGCAGGAGGCGGAGGAGAAGGAGGAGGAGGAGGTTGGAGCGTCTGGGGGCTCAATATTGCATACGCCGATTTGCGCGTCAACTTTGCGCAGGGGCCACGGAAAGATTCTCTGCATCGTTCTGAGCTTCACGGATGACCCCCGAGGGGGTATGCAGGGAACAGGCGGAGAGGGGGAGGAAGAGGAGGAAGAGAGGAGGCGCAGAAGCGGGAGGAGCAGGCAGGGGAGGCAGAGGACGAAGAGGAAAAGGAGGACGAGGAGGCAAAGGAGGATGGAGAGGAGGAGGAAAAGGAGGAGGAACAGGAGGCGGAAGGCGGCGCGACGCTGCGCGCGAAGCCTCGGCGACCTCCGTCCTCAGGCCCCGGTCGCACCGGCGCACGTGCTCCCGCGCATCCACGATGTCCGCCACCTCCAGGGGGGGCCAGAAGGCTGCCCGGGCCCATTCCCCATGGCCCCCATCCTGGCCCATCCTTTGCAAGGGCCACAGGAGAGAGGAGGCGAGGACTTCTCCTCCTCCTCCTCCTCCTCCTCCTCCTCCTCCTCCTCCTCCTCCTCCTCCTCCTCCTCCTATATTCCTCCTCTTCCTCCTCCTCCTCCTCCTCCTCCTCCTCCTCCACCTCAGCCGGGTTGCCACGGAGGCGCATCAGGTAGTTCAGCAGCTGCGCGAAGGTGAGGCTGGCATGGTCGTCGAAGAAGGTTTGCTTTAAGGAGAGCACGCGGTTGAGGTTCATGCCGAACTTAGCAAGGATGTGCGCCACGTCTGGATTGGTAAGAATGGCGTCGAACTCTTCCGGGCCGATGCACTCGTCGTTGTTCCTCAGCGGAACGGCAAGGTGCACAAGCAGAACTTCTTGGAGGTCCGCGCGGACTTCTTGGAGCAGCGAGCGCGCCAGAGGCGTCGCCGCAGGCGCAGCCAGGGGGGCCATACGGCCGATCGAAGAAATACGCGCGGAGCTCCGAGAAATTAGGTGACTGCTGCTTTTGCTCTTCGAGCTCTTGTCGTAGGCCCACAGTATGTCCAGCAGGTGCTCCTTGAGGAATCGCACCTGGTACTTTTCCTTGTGGCGGCTGGTCATCGCGGATCCGCGGCCGCGCCTGAAGGCGGCAGGCAAGCTTGCGACAGGCCACTTCAGGGGATCACGTCGGGCGGGCTCGTAGAGGAGCGGGAGCCAGTTTTTTCCCTCTGAGAAAGTACCTGGCGGGACCGCTCGCCGAGCACCCATTGCGTCGCGAATTGCGTCGCCGATGCCTGCGCCGATAGTTGCGCCAATCTATGTGTTAAGTCTCGCTCCGATGAACACAAACCGCTCGCTGATTGGCGCGCTTTCTGGCGCGCTTTGCCAGCGCTGCTCTGTATGTGTTTGGGGCGCCCCCCGGCGCCCCCCCCCGCTGGCCGTCGGCCCGCCACCGCTGGCTCCCCCCCCGGCGCCGCCCCTGCCACGCGCCTGGCCCTGCTGTGAGCGGGCCCGGCTCCTCCCTCCCCCCCGCCGCCGCCGGGCGCCTCCTCCTCCTTCTCCTCCTCCTCCTCCTCCTCCTCCTCCTGCATGGTGGCCTCATTCGCGTTCAGTGCACCCCACCACGATTCTTTCGCCAGCGCAGTGACTCTGCCTAGCCGCCGACAGAACAATCTGTTTTGGGCGCATGTTGCGAACACGTTGGCACAACAACAACTCTCACAGCTTGTGGCCGCTCTGCGGAGTGCGGGACAGGATGCAAGGTCAAACAACGTGCTGCCCCCCCAAAGATGACCGTCCCGCCCCCGACGAGACGGACTGCCAAACAGAGCTCGTCCTGCAGCGTCTGGAGTGCGGTAGATGCGGCGCTTACGGCGGGTTCATGACAAGTCTTTGGGGGGGGGCTGGGTATTTCGCTTCCGCTGGCCTTCCGCCAGCCCCCCCCAGCGGGAAGCCCTGGTTTTAGATTCGCCTGCGTCCGCCCAGCCTTACGCCACATCCCGCCGCCGCAGAAGAATATGAAAAAGAAGAAGAAGCAGAAGGTGAAGAAAAAGAAATAGAGAAGTCAACACCTCGATCCCTCGAGGGCGAGGCCCTATCTGGAGCGTCCCATCTGCTTTCTGCAACAGTTTCGCACTGCCCACCTGAAGAGTGAGGGCGCAGACTGTACATCTGCACTGATCCTGGCCATGCCGATCCTTGGCCCGGGATCGGAGCAGATGCCTGGGTTCAGGATGGGCCTGGCCAGGATCGGCGCAGGTGTTCGTCCAGACATGCAATGTCTTGTTCCCTACCTGCGTTTCGCCAAGAGGGTTCTGATAGTGGGAAAACAAAGACCACAGAGGACTCTCACGAGGGAGACGGGGAGCATGAGGACGGCCAGTCCGGCAGCCGCATCGCCTCAAACTTCCTGCGTTAATTCCTGATACGAGCTCTCGCCTCAGTGCTGGCTACATGTTTGGTCCAGACGACCACGATGCCTTGTAAGAAATCAGCCGACCGATCGGCGTGTTTGAGACGCTTTGCCGTTGGAGTCGTCGTCGTCGTCGTCGTCGTCGTCGTCGTCGTCGTCCTCGTCGTCCTCGTCGTCCTCGTCGTCCTCGTCGCCGTCATCGTCGTCGTCGCCGTCAGTCCCAAGGGAATTCAGGAACAAAGAAATTGAAGAACGTCGCAGTTAAGTCGAAGGGAAGCCTTTCCCTGTTAATCCCTTCCCTGCCGGGGGTGGGGGGGGGGGTCCTTGGGGAGGGGTCCCCATAGGGGGTCCCCCGGAGGGAAACCAGAGGGGGGTCCGGGGCTAAAATACCATCCCCCAGGGGGGTCCCAGAGCGCCCCAAAACAGGCCAAGAGTGCCTCTAGAGAAACCCCCGAGACGGTCCAAGAGGGTTCCGAATATCCGAGCGATCGATCGATCCAAGACACCCGAGATGGCTTCTAGGCAGCCCAAGATGCCTCCAAGACGCCCCAAGAGGCGTCCAAGAGCACTCCCACAAGTGCCCTACGAAGCAAACTTCATTGAGTGTCCGTCGGCTTTTGACAGATTTGGCCGATTTGGCTTCCTGACACTCAATAAGGGCCCAAAAAGCACCCAAGATCGCCCCACGGCGAGGGCCCCCGAAAGCTGAAAACGGCAACAACAACAACAACAACAACAACAACAACAACAACAACAACAACAACAACAACAACCACAAAAACTCCGGTCGAGATACTCATCTTCAAGTTGACGCACAAGGATTTACTGGTACGATGTGTCCTTCTCGGAGGCTTGCGCCCGACCGGATCACGCAGCACAAACACGTTGTAACACATCGTTTCCCGAACGCTATGGCCAGAACGCGCCCGCTGCGGAACGTATACTGTAAGCGTTTCGGCGCGCGCGTCGCCCCTGGGGGGAGGCGACGCGCACATAGCACGAGCACAATCAGAACTTATAGTAAAGATGCGCGATAAGGATGCAAGCCCCTTGGACGCCCAGGTTGAGGCTTTTCAAGCGGGGCTGGCCGTCGAATGCGGCTACGTAAAAAACAGAACGAGGAAGCAAGGATACCAGGGTCCGTGGGAAGCCGTTCATCCTCATTATCGGTTTCGACTCTATGTCGTTGTGACGCCGACTTCACGGCGCGAGCATGTCTGGGTGGTTCGGCGCCCTCCGACGGAGGGCTCAAAAAGGCCCCCTGGTGGAGATCCCGGCACCCGCCGAGCGGCCTTTGGCCCGCGCCAGGAGGCGCGCGGCAGCGGAGGTGTGCGCGCGCCAGCGCGAGCTGATACGACCTCGACGACGATGCCGATGAGCACGTTCAGGAGGCAGAAGCTGGATGCGAAGATGAACACCTGGGCGACAATGTTTTTTCGTCGAGCGTCCCACCCTCCACGGGGGAAATGGCAGTCGCACCCCGTCCGGAAAAAACAATGGTCGAGAATCGGAGGCCGGGCCAACGTCTGCAAACGCCGCCAGAACCTGGGCGACGAAAACTTATTAGTTTGCCCAGACAGAACACCTAGAGACGACACAACCCGAAGCAAGGTGCCCAAGGTGCCTGCATAAATTCCCATGCGCTCGGACCTCGCAACATGATAACTACAAAGACACGCCCCTGGCGTCCCATCTGCGCCGCCGTTGCGAGGCGCCTCGAGATACAACCCCGAAGCACGGCCACCGGCACCAACACCATTTGGCCGCCTGCCTCAAGCAGCGGAGACGTCACTGCCCGAGGATTTTACTTCCCGCGCCCCCCACGTCGGGGGACCCTTTCGAATAACCCCATGGGGCCTCTCAGGGGTGGTACGGCGGGCCCGCACCTACTCTGGTTGGCCAACCACAGGACAAGAGTCTCTCCCACAGCCCCGTCGGGCTGTGGTGACGATCGGGCTGCCTGCCCGTGTTTTCCTGGGACGCCACGAGGGAACCCAGCGGCACAGGTGCCTCGTGGGCAACGAAAAGAAAGGAGACTTGCGCGAGATGACATAGCGACCTTAGGCCACAGCTTACGCGGGCCACCAGCGCGGCACGCTGCACTGGAGACGAGGGTGCTTGCGCGCGACCCGCGACCAGACGCAGGCAACTTACGCACGAATGTCGGCGCAGCCGGCCCCGTTTGTACTGCGTCGCCCACCTCCCTGTTTTGCCCATGGCTTTCACATTTTTTTTGTCGGTGGCGTTTTCGCTCCAAAACGCCGTCGGGGCAGCGGGGGACGCACGCGTGCAAAACCGGGCACAACAGGAGAAGGGATGGGCGCGGCGGAGGAAGGAGGGGAAGCCGTGGGCGGCAGAGCACGCTCAAATAATGAAGTGCGTATGCGTGTGTCCCCGAACACAGGCCTACACGGAGAGCAGACAAGATAGGGGGCAATATTGGCACAAACGCAATGCAAAGTGCCTGCACCGCCTGCGATTGTCACTTGAAAGAGTAGCTCAGAGGATTTGAAGGGGAGGAGGAGGAGGAGGAAGAGGAGGAGGAGCACCAGTGCAAACCCAAGAGTCATCAACGATGTTAAAACAAACCCTCCCTCCAAGCTCCCTCTTCACAGGCCAACAACGTTCATTCCCATTGGGGGAACTGCCTCGTTGGAAGACAACCATTTGAAGACCTGGAAGCATGCCAAAACATTGTTCTCGGGATCCCAACGCCACAGATCAACCTGACCATTGCGTGCTGACGATCCAGAATCGCACCAGGACGCCATTCCTGGGACTTCAACCCAGCGAATCAACGTAAGTGTTGCGCCCGCGTAATCCTGAATCTGTTCAAAACATCGTTTCTCGTTTCTGATACGCTAATGATGGTAAGCCGTGAAACTTTTGTAAATTGTGCAAACGAATGCGCGCGGCGCTAAGGCGAGAGCCACATGTTGAAAAGGAACCGTCTTCAATCAGTGACATTCTTGCTGTTTTTGACGAATGTGCGCCACGCTAAGGCGAGAGACACATGTTGAAAGCGACCCGCCCTCAATCCGAGAAGCTCTTGAGAATGGTTCCAGCGAGCCTGCGCCGCGCTACGGCGAGAGACACATGTTGAAAAAAGAATGTGCACCGCTCCAAAGAAAACCACCCGCCCTCAATCCGCGGAGCTCTTGCTAATGTTGAAAACGAATGTGCGCCGCCCTAAGGCGAAAACCACATTTTGAAAACGGCCCGCCCTCAATCCGTGAAACGACTCTTTCAATTTGTTTAACGATTGCGCGCCGCCCTAAGGCGAGAGCCACATGTTCAAAACCACCCGCCCTCCATCTGAGAAGCTGTTGCCAATTTTGGTGTATCAGAGCCATATGCTTCAGGATCATAAATGGTGAGGAAGTCTCAGGCGAAACGCCCAGCCCACCCTAAAAACTAACCTCGGGGTGCGACAAGGAGAAGTTATTCATGAAGAAAAGGAATGGAGGACAGGACGGAAGCGAGGGGAATCAATGAGCCGCAATGCACAAGCCGCCAGAGCAGGGCGGATCGACTAGCGAATGAAACACTTGGGGGGGGGGGCACGATACCGCTGCCGCTGCACCCAAAAAAAGGAAGCAACTCCTGGGGGTCTTCGTAAGAACGATGAAGGGCTACTGGCAACAAAGCCCAAACGAGGGGCCCTGGAGCCGAAGCGGGCCAGATCAAGCCAGGGATCAAGCCGAATTGAACGAGGTTAAGCCGGTTGACACGGGACTAGGCCAGCTTAGGCCGTTCCTCGTCAACGGATCTGCCAGCACCGATGCTGAACTTAGCCTACCAGGAGTGACGTGCTCAACCCCGGACGTCTCCCGTGGGCGCGCTCTGGCCAGAACTCCGGTGCGGGCCTGGCCAGGGCGAGACGGGGCCCCGGGATCCGAAGACGAGGGAAGGGCATCGGCATCGGCACTCGGAGGCGGCTAAGAGGGGGGTGTCCAAGAGGGGGGTGTCCAAGAGGGGGGTCGCAAATCATGGCCAGCGGCATGTGCGCGGCCCAGGGGGGGGGGGGGGCAGGGACGTGCTGAAATAAGATGAGGCGCCATGAACTTATGGGGAGATGTCATGGCCCCCGCCATGATATCTCCCCCCTTGTCATCACCCCCCTCCTGGCCGCCCCCGAGACACGCTTCCCTGCTGGAGTCACCGGGAACAGTATGCCCAGCGCGTTGGCGTCGTTCCTGAAAAACTTGCTGGACGTGTCGGCGGGGCTGTCCAGCAGCGTGCCGTGGAGGAGCAGCGTCCACATGGACTGCGACACGCTCCCGGTGAGGCCCTCGAGGCCGGGCAGATCCTCGGCGGGAGGAGCAGATGGGGAGGGGGGGAAGATGAGGAACAGGAGAGCGAAGGGGGGAGAGGCGGAGAGGCACGAGGAGGGGGACTGGTGGGCGGAGGGGAGGGGAGGGAGGAGGAAGAGGAGGAAAAGGAGAAAGAGATAAAGAAAATAAAGAAAATAGCCCTGAAGCTTACGTTGGCCCAACGTAGAAAAAGAAGATAAGGACGAGGAAAAAGGCGAGGGAGGAGGTGGAGGAGTAGGACGAGGAAGAGAGGACGGCAGAGGAAGGAGTAGGGGAGGAGGACGGAGAGGGGGGGGGAGAGGAAGGATACGAGGGGGAGGGGGGGAAGAGAGGGAGGGTGAAGGAGGGGGGAATGCGGAGGTTCAGAGAAAGAAGAGGGAGGAGGAGGAGGAGGAGGAGGAGGAGGAGGAGGAGGAGGAGGAGGAGGAGGAGGAGGAGGAGGAGGAGGACGAGAGACCGTCGCCCCCGCCACGGTCTGCCCGCGGCGCCGCGCGCTACAGGGGGCGGGCGGCGGCCAGCGCGCCCTGCAGCGGCACGGCCGGCTGCCGGCCGGCACGGCGGGAGCCCCACTCCCTGGGCGGAGGGCGCAGTGCAGACGCAGCCGCGGGAAACCCTCGCAGGCAACCCTGGCCTGAAGACCCGCGGGCGGGATGCAGCCCGGGCGGGGGGGGGGGCCAGAGCACCCTGGGCGCAGCAGCTTCTTGGACGGCCGCGGGAAGTCACCGCGCAGCGCGCGGAGAGAAGGCACCCAAGGCATCCTGACGAAAAGCACCCGGCTTCTTGCTGCGCGTCCCCGGTGTAATCCCACCAGCTCTCTGGGCGGAGGTGGTCTGGCGGAGCCTCTTCAAATCCCTTTTCCTTCCCGAACCCTGGTCGCTGCCCAGGATCAGGCGTCGTCGGATCTCTGCGCGAGGATGTCAGTGTCAGGTGCCGAGTTCTGCCGCTCAGAGGCTAATCCCACCAGCTCCCTGGGCGGAAGTGGTCTGGGGCGTTTCCTCTTCCCCCCTTCGCCAGGATGAGGAGGAGGAGGAGGAGGAGGAGGATGCGGAAACGAGGATGTCCTCCTCCTCCTCCTCCTCCTCCTCCTCCTCCTCCTCCTCCTCCTCTTTTCCGCAGCCCGCGTCAAAGGAAGGCAGCCCGAGTCAGGACCGCGAGCAGGAGGCGGAGGCGGGACGCGCGCTTGCTCGCGCCCGCGCGCTCATGGCGCGGCCGAACGGCGGGCAGCCCCGCGGCGCGCACGGGCACGGGCGGGGCCTTCCCCAGCGGAGGGCATCGCGCTCGCGCGGTCGCGCGCGCAAGCTCCCTCGCAAGGCAAGCACCAGCTCACCAGAGGAGACTGCGGCGGCGCCCTGGTGGCCCAGGCCGACGTGCTAGGGCACCACGGCTGCCATGATCGAGCCAATGCATTCTCATCACCACGTCATGACAATATGCTTCAGCACAGTGGGCCCATGTACGCAGGCAGATGGCGCTCTCAAGGTACATGTTCGCCTGCACCAGGGCACACGGGTGGTCCAGTCTTGACGGCGAACCCCACTGTACACTCCTTCTCGTCTGTCTGATATGGGCCACACATACTGGACGCACCACGCGATCCTTCATCATCCACTTCGCGCACCGGGTCTGGACTGACGTGCAGAGGGCACCACGGCTGCCATGATCGAGCCAATTGTGTCGCTCGACCAGCCATGCTGCTCAGAGGCCTCTCGGTCGTCTACATCGAGTCGAGCAACTCTGGCTGGGATGGGCCGCCCAGGATTGACGAGCCTGCGGGCACCTCTTGCAAGCCAAAAGTGGCCCACCCGAGGAGACTCGCAGAGCTCCATCGCAATCGCGGGCCCGCCGGTGCCATGGACATGGCAACAGGATAAGAAGCATCACGGCGACCACCCCGGCCTCGCTTGACTCGCCGGGTCGAACCAGCGCGGGGGCCGCGGGGCCGGGCCGCACCAGGACTCGGGAGGGGGGCGGCCAGAGCTCTGGCAACTCTGGCACCGTGCTCATCCGAGGGGCGCCGCTGGCTACCCCCCTGGCTGGCCAGGTGGCAGGGTGGGGCGCCCATCTCTACCGGCCGCGTTGGGCGCCCAGCCTGGTCCGGAGGACGAGCGCACACTGTCCTCGTCGCGGGCCCAGCGAGCGCGCAGGTCGGTCGGGCAGCCCAGGGCCACTGGACGGCGGTGGTCTCGACACCTCAACCCTGGGGCGGGGAGCGCCCCAGGGGCGCCGCCGGCGGCGGCGCCGGGATTGTTGCGACCGCCGTGGGCGAGTCGTGGGTCTGCTGAGGTCAGCTGGGACTACTCGGGGGGGGCCTGCTGAGGCCAGCCAGCACCACCTGGGGGGGCTGTCCGCGCGCAGCCCCGAGCCTTCCCACGCGGGGGGAGGAGGGAAGAGGAGGGGCGGCCGACCCGGGCCAGAGGACGGACGCACAGACGAACGTGCGGAGCGTCCCAGGGAGGGACGGGCCGACTGGCGGCATGCGCGGCCGCTCTCTTGGTTGTGGAAGGCGTGGTTGAGACGGCACCTGGCCGGCATTGTGGAGGCCGTGACTGTCGGGGATGTGATTGTTGAGGACGTGGGTGCTTATTGGGGACGTGGTGTCACTGCGGGCTCCTCCGCCGCATCCTGGCGGGAGGAGGCACCCCCGTGGCGGGCAGTCCTGGCCAAAGATGAGCAGCACGGCCGCGGGCGCTGCAAAACATGGGCGCGGATGTGCGGCCTGCGCCGGGCCGCACGCCCCGTTTCAGCATTGCAGAATTGGCAATGCAATTTTACGGATGATCCTGGAAGGGAACCCAGCGTCCTGGCAGGAAGAGGAGGAGGATGAGGAAGAAGAGGAGGAGGAGGAGGAGAAGGAGGAGGAGGACAATAGAGGAGGAGGAGGAGGAGGAGGAGGAGGAGGAGGAAGAATAATAATAAGAAGAAGAGGCCCAGCATGAGGAAGAGCACGTCGCCCGACCGCTGGGCCATGAACCGTAGCTGGGCGCGGCGATCGGGCGCCCGAAAAGGAGGGACAGCAGCAGCAGGGAAAGCAGGAGCGTGAGGAGGAGAAGGGACGAAGGAGGAGGGGACCAAAGGGACATAGCTAAGGTATCATGTTCTAATGCGTTCCAGTTCCACTGGATCTTTGCGTGTTTGGTGGGCTCTGAGGGGAGGAGGAGGAGGAGGAGGAGGAGGAGGAGGAGGAGGAGGAAGAGGAGGAGGAGGAGGAGGAGGAGGAGGAGGAGGAGGAGGAGGAGGAGGGGAGGTGCCTTAGAATAACTGCTGTATACGATCCCGAACACGAAGATCAGCATGAAGATCAGCACCAATGTGAAGAACACCGAGGGCAGCGTGACCACCATTGCCCTAATGAGGTTGAACAGCTCGGGCGAGGTGCGCATGACCCTCACGATCCGCAGCAGGCGCAGCAGGCGCAGCTGTGCCACGACCTCTCCGCCAGCGATCTCTTCAACCTCAGGCACGACCAGCGCCAGCGCTGGAAGCAGCATGGACTCCCCCATCATCTGGACCACCAGCAGCGCATCGAACATGAACCACGAGTCGCGAAGGCAGTCCTTCCTCCACTGGAGGGCCAGCATTCTCAGGAAGATCTCCGCCAAGAAGAAGATGCAGAATATGTACTCTGGGATCAGGAACTCAGAGTCTGCATCAGTGATCAGCCCAGCGCCGTCGTTGAAGTCCAACTCGATCGCGATGAAGGCAGTGTTGAGCAAGATCATGATCGACGTGCACACAACAAACACTCGGCTGCCAACCAACCTGGCGATGAGGGTGGGATCGCCATTAAGGCCAGTTCGGGTCGAGAAGCGGTGTCCGAAGCGTCTCTTGGCCTGACGGCCTCCTGGGCCAGACTCCTTGTCGAGCTTCCTCCTCGACTCCTCCATGCGCTCCTTGTAGGCCTCGAAGCTCTCGCGGGTGGGCGCGCCAGTCTCCAACCACCTGGAGAGCGCCTGAAGGCGCTGGCAGAGCTGAAACCAACAGCCGAGATGGCCCACGCGCTTGACTTTCCGGGTGTTCTGCGAGATCGGGTCCCACTGAATCATGTCTTCGAAGAATATCTCCATCGGGACTGGCCTGGCGTCTTTGCCCTTCCCGGTCTTGACCCTGACCTTGGTGTAGCCAGTCGCGAAGGCCGTTTCGATCTGCTCCTCGGCGGCGCGCCCGCGGGGGAAGCGAGAGGGGCCAGGCCTTCGCAGAAGGCGGCGGTGCTTCTCAAAAGCCCTCGCGCCTTCCGAGAGGCCGTCCATGTCTTCGGAGAAGGCTCAGAACTTCGAAAACTTCTCAGGCCTTCCGAGCCTTCTGAGGAGGCCCGCCCCCTCTCACTTCTCCCCTGGGCTTGCCGTAGAGCTCCTGCACACCGTCGCCGTACTTCCGCCAGCCGGTCTTGTGCTCCCAGAACCAGCAGGGCCCTGCCGCGGCTCGGTCGCCGGCCGCGTTCAGCTGGCCTGCCGTTGGCCGCGAGCTCCGGACGGAACCGCAGGTGGACGCCGACCGGGCGCTCCTCTGGGGCGCCCGAAGGGGGCACAGAAAAATGAGCACGATGCCCAGCTACAAGTTGCTGCTTTCCCACGTTAAAGCGCCAATGTTATTCGATGCTGTGCCTGTTAGCTCGCGCGCGTGCCGTTCGCACCACGAGCCGATTGAAACATCAGCGATCGCGAAGCTGTGCCCAACAACAGAAGATCGTGTCCCAAACCGCCAGCGGCCGCTCTGGGGCAGGCGGTCTCCTGCCTCAAGTGGGCAGCGTCGGCGGCGACGCAACGAATCTTGCTCAACATGGAGAGGAATTGCGGTCGGTCTTCGTACCCGTTCTTGCCGTACCCGCTTCTGGGGAGGCCAAATGATACCGATCCCGCGGCTCCCCAGACCTCTCTCTAGGCTCAGTCTGACCAGAATTGCGAGGAGAAACCAGCCGTGGCAACGAGGGCATCCCAAGAGAAACAAAAAGGCGCAACCGAGACAATGGTAGCGGTATCGGTGCCCTTTCCGTTATTTCGGTCGGTCTTCGTACACATTGTTTCCGCATCCGTTGGGATCGTACCGACACCTGTGCAGGAACTCGCCCACCATCACAATCACCGCCTCCATCACCATCCCCTTCACGATCCTCCTCACCCCTCCGACGACGACAACGACGACGACGACGAAGATGACGACGACGACGACGGCGACGCACCACCGTCCCGCCCACCCCGCCCGCCCGTCCCGACCGCCCTTCTGACACGCCCGCTTGAATGTCCCGCCAGTCCGTCAAAAACCGTCGTCCCCGTCGTCGACGTCGTCGTCGTCGTCGTGGTCGTCGTCGTCGTCGGCGTCGGCGTCGTCAGCGTCGGCGTCGGCGTCGGCGTCGGCGTCGTCGTCGTCGTCGGCGTGAGCGTCGGCGTCGGCATCGGCGTCGTCGTGGTCGGCGTCGGCGTCGGCGTCGGCGTCGGCGTCAGCGTCGGCGTCGTCGTCGTCGTCGGCGTGAGCGTCGGCGTCGGCGTCGGCGTCGTCGTCGTCGGCGTCAGCGTCGGCGTCGGAGTCGGCGTCGTCGTCGTCGTCGGCGTCGGCGTGAGCATCGGCGTCGGCGTCGGCGTCGGCGTCGGCGTCGTTGTCGGCGTCGGCGTCGTCCGAGTCGTCGTCGTCGTGGTCGGCGTCCGGCGTCGGCGTCCCTCGGCGTCGCGGGCATCGGCGTCGCGTCGCGTCGTTGTCGGCCGTGGGCGTCGGCGTTGTCATCGTCGTCGGCGTCGTCGTCGTCGGCGTTCGCGTCGGCGTCGGCGTCGTCGTCGTCAGCGGCGTCGGCGTCGTCGTCGTCGGCGTCGTCGGCGACGGCTTCAGCATCGGCGTCGGCGTCGGCGTGGGCGTCGGCTTCGGGGAGGGGGGGTCGTCGTCGTCGGCGTCGGCGTCCGGCGTCGTCATCGTTCGTCATCGGCGTCGTCGGCGGTCGTCGTCGGCGTCGGCTTCGGCCGTCGGCCTGCCTGGAGCGAGAGGTTCGTCCGCGAAGTAATCGTCGTCGTCTCGGCTTCGTCGTCCGGCGTCGGCGTCGTCGTCTTCGCAGTGGCTGGTAGTCGCGTCGGGCGATGCGCTTGGTGTCGCGTCGGCGTCGGCGTCGGCTTTCGGCGTCGGTCCGGTCGTCGTCGTCGGCTTCGCGGCGTCGTAAAGTCGTCGTCGTCCGGCGTCGGCCTCGTCGGCGTGTCGTCGGCGCAGGCGTCCCGGCGTCCGTCGTCGGCGACGGCGTCGGCATCGCGTCGGCGTTCGGCACCCGGCGTTCCGGCGTCGGCGGGGCGTCGTCGGCGTCGGCGGTCGGCGCGGCGTCGGCGTCGGACGTCGGCGTCGTCGGCGTCGTCGTCCGCGTCGGCGTCGTCGTCGCGTTCGCGCGGCGGCGGCTTCTCGTCCCGGGTCCGTCGGCGGCGCCGCGTCGTCGGCGACGGCGTCAGCATCGTCGTCGGCGTCGCGTCGGCGTCGCGTCGGCCCGCGGTCAGCGTCGGTATCGCGTCGTCGTGGTCCGGCGTCTGCTTGGGCGTCGGCGTCGGCGTCGGAGGAAAGGGAGGAAGGGGGGAGGCGGTGGCGTCGTCGTCGTCGTCGGCGTCGGCGTCGGCGTCGGCGTCGGCGTCAGCGTCGGCGTCGTCGTCGTCATCAGCGTCGTCGTCGGCGTCGGCTTCGACGTCAGCATCGGCCTAGGCGTCGGCGTCGGCGTCGGCGACTGCGTTGGCATCGGCGTCGGCATCGGCGTCGGCGTCGACGTCAGCATCGGCGTCGGCGTGGGCGTCGGGTGTCGGCGTCGGCGTCGGCGTCGGTGTCGCGTCGCGCCGACTCCCGGCGTCGTCGGCGTCGCGTCCGGCGTCGCGTCGGCGTCGTCAGCGTCGTTGGCGTCGTCTCGTCCGTCCTCGGCGTCCGGCGTCAGATCGCGTCGGCGTCGGCGTCGGCGTCGGCGTCGGCGTCGCTCGGCGTCGGCGTCGGGCGGTCAGCATCGGCGTCGGCGGCGGCGACCCCCCCCCCCCCCCCCACCCCCCCCCCCCCCCCCCCCCCCCCCCCCCCCCCCCCCCCCCCCCCCCCCCCCCCCCCCCCCCACCCCCCCCACCCCCTCGTCGTCGGCGTCGTCGTCGTCGGCGTCGTCGGCGCCGGCGTCAGCAATCGGCGTCGGCGTCGGCGTCGGCGTTCGTCCGTGGTCGGCGTCGGCGTCGCGTCGCATCGCGTCGTCTTGTCGTCCGTCGTCGTCGGCGTCGTCGTCGGCGTCGGCGTCGCCGTCACACGGCGTACGGCGTCGGCTCGGCGTCGGCTTCGTCGGCGTCGGCCTCGTCGGCGTCGGCTTCGGCGTCTGCGTCGGCGGCATCGGCATCGGCGTCCGGCGTCGGCGGTCGGCGTCCGTGCGTCGGCGTCGTCGTCGTCCTGCGTCGGCGTCCGCGTCAGCGTCGGCGTCGTCGTCCGTCGGCGTCGTCGTCGTCGTCCGGCGTCGGCGTCATCTCCGTCGTCGTCGTCGGCGTCGGCGTCGGCTTCGCGTCGTCGGGCATCTTCCTCGTCTGGCGTCGGCGTCAAGCATCGGCGTCGGCGTCGCGTGGGCCGGCGTCGGCGGCGGGCGTCGGCGTCGGCGTCGGCGTCGGCGTCGTCGTCGTCGTCAGCGTCGGCGTCGGCGTCGGCTTCAACGTCAGCATCGGCGTCGGCGTCGGCGTCGGCGTCGGCGTCGGCGTCGGCGTCGGCGCCGGCGTCGGCGTCGGCGTCGTCGTCGTCGTCTTCGGCGTCGGCGTCGTCGTCGTCGTTGCCGTCGTCGTCGTCGTCCTTAGACACTCGCCAAGGACGTCCACCGCGTGGGGGTCGTCCGTCTCGAGACCCGCCACGCCGGCGGGCGCGCCCCAGGCCAGCAGCGTCGGCGTCGTTGGTGGCCGCGGGTTGCGCGAGGCCGAGGCCCTGCTGGCGCCGCAGAAATCGACGGCCTTCGGGCTCGCGCCCTCCTCCGCCTCCTGGCCCCTGCTCCTCCTCCTCCTCCTCCTCCTCCTTCTCCTCCTCCTCCTCCTCCTCCTGCTCCTCATCGTCCTCCTCCTCCATTCTTGTTCCTTCTAAATAACTTCTCCCTGTCGCACCCCGAGGCAAATTTCTAGGGCGGGCCAGGCGTTTCGCCTGAGACTTCCTCACCACGTTTGATTCTGAAGCTTCAAAAGTGGTAACAACTCCACCGATGGAGGGCTAGTGGTTTTCAAAATGTGGCTCTCGCCTTAGCGCGGCGCACATTCATCTTTTAAACTGCAAGGGCTTCACGGATTGAGGGCGGGTGGTTTTCAAAATGTGGCTCGTGCCTTAGCGCCGCGCACACTCGTCTTAAACATGTGGAAGAGCTTCACGGATTGAAAGCGAGTGGTTTTCAAAATGTGGCTCTCGCCTGAACGCGGCGCACATGCGTTTTTCTAATTGCAAGAGTTTCGCGGATTGAGGGCGAGTGGCTTTCAAAATGTGGCTTTCGCCTTGGCGCGGCGCACATGCATTGTGGACATTGGCAAGAGCTTCGCGGATTGAGGGCGGCTCCTTTTCAAAATGTGGCTATCGCCTTAACGCGGCGCACATTCGTTTAAGACGGAAGAGTCAGATTAATCCGTGGCGTTGGGATCCCGAGACCCGTGCATTGGCATCCTTCAGGGTCTTCAAACGGGTGTCTTCAAACGAGGC